GAAATTATTCTCGGTTATAAATCACACGGGCGTGCGCTTTCGTTTTTCGTTGGACGCCGTGTATACGTGGAAAGGATGCCTGACTTGGCGACATTCGACGTGATTCGCAGAAAGGTAATTGATAGTCTCCTACCCGGGGCCTGAGCAAGCACTATTTCCCTTTCGAGATTACGACCGCTTCAGAAAATTGTTCCGAATCGGGTGCTCGAGTTTCTCGTTTCTTTTCCTTGAAAACGATTTGTCGTACGAACGATATTCCAAAATAACCGATTGAATTTCCCATTTCGTCGGGAACGTGATTATTAAATTGCGAGGGTGATGATTTGAAGATATTTGAAGATCGAGTCGGTGTGACGAATACGAAGATTCCATAGTTGGTCGAAACTTTTTTCCTCACATTCGAAATTATTAGAAAGTGGATATTTTAATCGTTGGATTATAAATGTCGAGTTAAGTTATTATTATTTTGAGTTAAATTCCTCGAGTGATTTTTTCCATTCTTTGCTCGTAACAGTTGGCAGTAATTATCTTGAAAATTATTAAAAAATTGTTAGATCATGCGAACTCGCGTTTTCTATTTACGTAAGGGCAATTGTGAGTAGTAAGATTTACTCGTTGAGTACAGTATCTGTTTGATACGTTACAACCATGAGGGATTGATCGTATCTAGAATGATCTTTGCAAATTGACTTCGTTTTGACAGAGACTCCCTACGAAGACTCGCAGTTGGCCTCGCTTGATAAGTACGTAATATAAGGTCACGATGTTAATACGTCGTGTTATTCGCCGCAGAACGTAACCGTTAACAGAACTGTTTGTACACAAGCTCGAATTCTGCCAGACGAGAATTTCATACGAATTTATTTCGAGGAATAAAATTTCTCTCAAAGGTTTGACTCCCCGAGATTAGACTATTTTATAGATCGTTATCTCAATTTCTAAATTTTGATAAAATATGGAAAAATGGTAAGCAACGACAAAATACTTGACGAATATCGATACACGCGATGATATTTAAACAATTCCAATAATCTTTCGTCATATTTTCGCGATAAATGTAACGACCATCGTAATTTTTATAAAAAAAGAAGGGAAGAAATTATTGCGCTCGAAACAGAATCAAAATTATACGAAATTACTTATATGGATCCACGTGTATATATATATATATATAGATTTAATAACACAATGCACGAAGTTTTCGAATGGTTCGTGAGCCACTCATTGTCCCGCGCGTTAAATAAGAAAATAACGTAACAGTCGAGTCATTTGAGTCGACTCAAATGATTCATACTCATGAAACGCGCTGCAGTTTAAAACACACACTTCCTGCTATGGAGAGCGGGTCCACCAGCTCCCTTTATGGACAATAGCCGTATTGCGTAACGCGCTTGAATCGCTTGCATTTTTCCACCAAAAACTATCGCCCCACAAATTCGAGACAAGATCGTTTCTAATCTCGAGATCATTCTTTTTACCTGCCACGAATCGATTAATCTTCTTTCTTTGTTTCTTCTTTCTACCTGAGAATCGAAATGGTAGTTTGCTTTAAGAGTTCGTGGGAGATGATTTTCCTCTCGAAGGATAATTAGAAGGGAGGATAGAGGCAGGTCAATTTGATTTAGAATAATTTATATTTATAATTTTTTCAAATAATAATAATAATTCAAGCGAGTTAGAGAAAAATCGTATCGAAATAATCCCTTTTTCGAGATATAAAAATAAATTCTTATTTTAGAAATAAGAAAAGTAGAACTTTTTGTCTGAGATTGAATAAAATATCGGTGTAAATATAAAGTGTCGAGGAAATTTTTCGTATTTCTGACGAAATTATAACAGAATAGAAATAGTCGAAAAATAGCATCGAGTCAAACAAATAGTTTTTCATATTTTCATACAACACGACTTTCGTTTTACTCGAGTAACACCCTGACCCATCGTCCAAGACTTGATTTACGACCACACGAACAAGTATTTAAATTTCGAACATCCTCTCGGAATAAAATTCCCTAAATCTTGCATAAATTCTTCCAGTCACGACCCAGGGAAAGAAAAAGCAAGTCTCTAGAAACGGCTTTGATAAAATTAATTGACGAAATTAAAAGAAGAATCCAATAATCTCATAGTTGATCTCCTTCGATCGAGACCTAGCTCAGAACGCTCTCTCGAAACAGCCGCGTTTCCGCGCAGTCCACGTTTCCAATTTATGAATCATATGAGATATCGCGCAAGTTTCTTTAGTCACGGTTCGAAGTTTACCGGCCATTCTTCTTCTAAATTTCCATCGAACCGTGTACGCCGAGGTATTCGATTTTCCTCGAGTCACGGTTGCTCGTGGACAATCGCTAATTGAATTTGCAAATGGAGAGAGGAAAGGGTTAAGAAGACAGAGAGAAGCGGAGTGTCTCTCGTGGCAAGCGGTGACAGGGCGTTCGTTTTATCGGAACGAGGCGTCGACGAGCATCGACACTTTTTTTATCAAAGCGTCGTTCGTTTATATAATCTCGTCCTCACCTATCATTTTTATTATCCCCCGCGATTATCTTGATATCTTCTTCCCCCTCCTCCTCTTTCTTTTGTTTCTTCCATCTTGTCTTTGAATTCTTCTTTGTCGAACGATTCTTTCTAACCATTTTTTACTTTCCTCCTTTTTCTTTTTCGAAGATTCCAAGATTTTGTTTCGATCCAATCGGTCAAGTCTTCCAGTTTCTTCGAACGAATTTAACGTTTTCGTAGATTTTGAGATGATGATTTTATAAGAGTTTGATTGAACGTGTTGTTTACGCGGCGGTGTCGCGTTATTTGACATACTTTCTATATCTTGGAATTGCAAAAAAAAGAAGCTGGTCATTCGTCATGCCCAAGGATGACGGTTTGTTTTGTTTTCAAACGTTAAATTTTATCACAAGTACTACGATATTGCATTACTGCTGCGTAACAAATCGGCACGTGGGAAATTCTAGTCGCACAGAATAGATACCGGCGGTATCGTGCATCGTGGATTGGTTTTGTTAAAAAAAAAAAAAAAGAAAAATAAAAAAAGAAGAAGAAGAAGAATCATTCTCAGGTTTTTTCACGCATGAGAAATCTTCGGTCGACTTTGCTCTCGTATTTCAGTTTCGATCAAAGTGCTTTACACTTTTATTATTAGTTTGTTATCACATGTTATATAAATATCAACTTTTACGTCACGTTGTTTGAACATTATAATATAAGGCGAATTAAATATTATTCTCGTCGACGATGCAACGAAAACAGTCAACAACAAGTAAACATTGTGGGTGTGCAAGGTTCGTCGCACAGACGAATTTCACAGTTGTCTCTTTCGTATCGCTCTTAACCGCGATAGGTTAACACTGGTATGACTTCACTTTAAAATGTGAAAACTCACGTTGGCGGCGAGCGTTTAGAAAATACGCGCGGTTTTCAGGCGACAGGAAGCTCAATTTCGCCCACTCGTTGCAACTACATCCTCTTTAACGAAAATGTTTTCTACGAATCTGTTCGTTCGACCTTTGGAATTGTCCAACTATCGATCCTGGTCGATCTCCTCCCTTTGAAAATGTATACGAATTGTAGTGCAACCGAGAGAAGATTTTTTTTTTTCTTTTTTTTAAGTAAATATCATCGTCAAAATGAGTAAAAATAGAATTTCGTTTTCCTTTGTTGCTTTATACGCGAATTGATCGATTTCACGAATCACGTTGGGAAATGATTCATTTGGAATTTATAGGCTTAGAGTTATAGATTGAAAGATGCGGAGGATATATATATTTTTTTACCTTAAAAATTTCTTCTACAAATTATGAATCAAATTGTTTTTTTTCATATAAGTTTATTTATTTTTGGGAAAATACGATTCGAGAAGAAGATTTTAATTCGAATAATTGCAAACTCTTACGTGTTACGATTACGTTTGATCGATTTCGTTTTCAATAAACCTACGAACATTAAATTTTATTAACAATTTAATCATTCTCCATCTTCAATAATCTCATACAATTAGAAAAAAAAAAAAATTCTCTATAATCTGCTATCATCGCAAGAATGAAATAACCACTTCAATATTCTTCCATTATTCTTCCTATGTTATTCAATCACTCGATAACGAGAATCTCGGTAAACGGAGCAGCTCGATTTAACGATTTCATCATTGCAAATAATTTCTAAACTGATAAAAAGAAATTTTTTATCCAACTTTTGCGATCGCACTTTTTCACGTCTCGATTCGATTTTGATAATGGAACGTCTCTCTCTCTCTCTCTCTGGCGTCGTTCGCGTTATCCGCTGCTGGGAATTGAAACGTTCGAACTCGAATCGATGATAATTCGGTTGCACGTCGCCAATAGCGATTGGATCCGAACAATCGCGATTGTCTATCGATCAGTTTTCCAACGAATTGAGATCTCTGCGAATCATTGTTCGATATATTTGCCCTCGTTTCTGTGATCCTGTAAATTAAAGAGGATTCAATAATCCTCGGAAAAAAGAAGAAAATTATTCGATCGAAAATATTTCATCGCCGAAACAATTTTTAGTTTACAATATCAAAAAAAGAAAATCTATCCATACGATAAATGACATTATATTCGTTTGAATGGTCGATTCCAGAGGGCGAAACGAAAAAATAGAGAGATTGTTATATAAAAATATCGGTCGAGGCTCACTTTATAAGTAATTGAACTTTGTGCTCGTCTCGTGCAAACTTCAATTGCTCATAATTTAACGAACAATCGAAATTTTTGTGCATCACAATTTTCGCAATTACCCTGTTATTTCCTCTCTCTATTTCATACGTTTTTGTCGACGTATTTATTAATAAAAAAAAAAAAACAAAAGGAAAGGAAATAGTAGCTCGCGTGACACGGAGACAGGAGTTTTCCAAATTCCTTCTCGATAAGATACGAAAACTCAATCCCGAATAGAAGAAAGATTTTGGAAGAGAAATTAGCAGTGGATAAATTGTGACGGTCAGATGAATCACGAGACGAATTGCACAGGCAGAATCGAAGTAACGGAAGAAGGGGAAGTTCCGCGGACATTCACACGTGGATGCTGTGGCCTGTGTTGGGGGATGACGGGCTGAGCCCAACGTCGCCCCCGGCGTCGGCCAGTGTCAAGGGGGTGAACAAACTGGCGCCCCTGCTGCTCTGCGCCCCCTGCAAGCCCACCAGTCACAGGAAGAACCAGAATTCCACCCAGTGGTACGTGCAGCAGGTAAACAACACACAACACAACTCCCAAATCAATTCGTCATCCTCGTTTTTCTCTGCCCCTTTCGTTCGATTGCCCTATTCTCTCTTCTTTCGATTTTTTTCTTTTTTTTTTTCGTCTCATTTGTTCTGCCTTTCATTTTCTTCTCCCTTCTCCCCCCTCCCTTTTTTTCTTTCTTTGTTCTCCGTTGTTCGTATATATAACTCGATATACAACTCTTCTTTTCGCTCTTGCCTGATCGGGTGGTGATTCGTCGTTATTCGTTCCTCATCTCGTTCTTCTTTCCCGCGTGTGTACGCATTTTTGCGGTTTAGTTTTTTTTTTTTTTTCTTTCTCAAGTCTCGAGTAGAGTCTCGTTTCACAGCTGGGTTCGGCTACGTGACTTTGAGCGTATACAAGGGAAAAATAAGAAAATTCTTTGGGTTAAGCGGGGGAGGGATGATGTTGAGGAGTTCAAGTTTCAAGCGAGAAATTTTGTATAGAAAAGTTGGAGAGTTTTGGATACGCGTTTGTTTGTCTTAGAGGAGTTTTGTGAGAGAGGAGGTTGGAAGTAAGATGTTTGGAGTAAATCTTGCGAAGTCGTTTAAGTAAATATTAACGTTATACAAAGTGTATGGAATGTGATCGGATTTTGGAAAATAGGTCAGAAATTTTACATGGTTAAAATATTAAAAAAAAGAATATATATATATTTTTTCTTGTTAATAAGATAAAAAATAAATAAATGGGAAAGTGTTATCATCGATTCCTATTTTTTTTTTTTCAAAATTGAGAGACAAATAAAAGTTAGTATTAGTTTAAGATTATTGTGATGGATCAGTTTTTAATTATTCAATAAAATTCAACGAAATCGATTGAATAATGCAACTACTTACGTGTCGAACCTATCACAGCTGGAAATCTGATTCTATTCGATTAGAAAGTGTCGAAATTGCCTGTTTTTCTTGATAACAACGATTGTTTCCGTATTCAATGGATGATTTCGATTTGTATTCGAATAAATTGTGCGAAAGTTCACTCGAACGTGTTCGGTCGAAGTTTCGATTCGAGTCGTTTCTTTAGATATATACATAGGAGATCATTTTAAAAATCTCTTCAATTTCTTCGCTTTTATTTGATTAAAAAATTTCAACAATTAAAAAATTGCTTAATCGAGCTCGAAAATTTGTAAAAATTTCAATTTCAAATTCACGATAAATGTTCGTATTTTTCGGAACTAGATACGATGTTATTCGAAGACATCGATTGACACTGCATAATCTTTGATGTTACTAAAATGATATATCGATCAAGAGAATCAAAAGAAATTGCTTTCGCACGTAGCATTTGTTTAGCATTGTTGTGAGTTTCATTATTATTTAGCGTGCATGCTTGTACCTACTTTTATTGCAACCGTAGCAATCCAGTTCCTCTCGTGCATGAGAACGAGAGAATAACATCATCGATTATTATTTTTAACGATGATAAATTGTTAATTTTATAGTGAATATATATATATAAATTAGATAAATGTATTTCGATCAAATTTCGATGCTACGCGAGGAAATGTTTCCACATTGATTTTCTGCGAATATTGCATTAATTTTGATTCATTTTAACGTGATTCGATTCGAAGAAATTTCCCGATATCAATTTTCTTTAATTCGATATCTTGAACGAACAGTGGAATATTCCAGAAGAATTGAATTTTCCACAAAAAGGCGGGAAATCTTAAGCAATTAAGGGTATTGTTCGAAGAAACAAGATGTTTCAAAGGAAAAGGCTGACACCGTAGAAAGTGTAGTCCATAGAAGGCGAACTTTCAATGTTAGAATTAACATAAAGGCAAGCCATTGTGTTATATACCTATCTGTATATATATATATATATATTCGAGAATATCAAGTAGATAGATAGATTGCTTTCTTTTTCGTTCGAAATTTCCTTCAAAAGAACAATGTTGCTCAATTTTTTGATCGACAACATAACAAATCTTGTCTGTTACGCGCATTTTCATTTTTTGAACGTAAAAAAAAAAAAATCTTCGATCCGTTTAAAATCTCTGTTCAAAAATAATTTCTCCATCCATCGTTCTCGTATCTCGACAAGAACTTTTCCATTACTCTTATTATCAAACTTTTTTTCTCTTCGCGTATCAATTATTTTTATTTCGTCCAATAGATTTGCAACAAGCTATATTTGCCAATCGTGTGAAGCGATTGCGCGTGAACATTTCTCTGCTATCTTCTCGCGTTTCTTTTTATTTTCGGCAAATCGATCAGTGTTAAAACAATATAATATAGAATTTCGACAATTGCGCGATTTCATTTCGCAAGTGAGTCATATAGGAGTCGTTGTGGAACACGATCTCTTTGGTGCTGCGGCACATGGAAGTGGTAATCAGGGTCAGAGTGTCATCGGAACTGTATCGTTGTCGTTAATGACCAGGATGGACAGTATGCAAATAAAGACTGACGTACGATTACATTGACCCGATCGCCGGTGAATAAAGTCGAGGCTTCGTTTCGTTGATATCCCATTGGATATGGCCGATAAGTTGTTCTTTAATCGAAAACCGACGATTAGATACATTTAGATGCATTTGATCGTAAAAGTTTTGTAAAATTTTTTTATGAAAAATTTATTGCAATATTGGAAAATGAGAATTCTAAGATCGAAATTTTGTTTTCGACGAAATATTTATATCCTCCAGTGGTTTAAGGTGAAATAAAATGTGTGTGTGTTGTTTTTTTTTTAACGTTTCTTAAATCGCAATCCTGTTTTCGTAACAGTTTTTTATAACAACATTCCCTGTATATTGGAATTCGGATTTCAATTTCGGATTGAAAAAAGTAGAAATAGCTCGGTGGTGGAGAATTTTATTTTATTAAAAATTAACAGTTCAGTTGATTGGATACTTTTCTGACCAACTGTACCTATATCGGGGAGATTGGTTTCCTCTTATCGAGCCGTATGAAAATTAATATGGTTATTCAAACATGCGACACTTTTCGTTTCCAGATATGATTATTGCTTTTCCTTGTGACATAACCTAGTTTTACGTCACTTGATTAATTTTCAACCGATTTAACGGACGAGTCTTTCTCATTTTGCGTCAATTCCTTATTTTCGCTTCTTCGAACTTGATGCTTACTCGACGAATTATGCGAGGGACAACAAATAGAGTTCTGATTTCCTCTCGAATTCGGTAAGCTTCGTTTTCTCTTTACATTTCTAAAAGCCATGGAACAGAAAAAAATCGATACGTAAGGCTAGCATTTTTTTTATCTTCGGTCGACTCATAGATATCGATTTTTTGTACTCGATATTTAGAAGAAAAAGTTAAATCGAATATTTATTTTCAAAAATTTTTCAACCTTCTTTTTTTAAAATTTTTTTTATTTTCAAATCCAGCTGGATCAACTTTGGCACACTATTTGTCAATGAAATTTATGTATCAAATTTAAACCTCTATTATCCAAGAGTTATCGAAATTATACATTTTAAAAATTAAAAACGAAATTTTCCAAATATTTATTGTCGTTTTTATTCCAAATTTTCCAAAAAATTTCGACGAATTGATTGAAAATCGCGTTTTCTTAACCCATCGTGGAAATTGGGTTACGAGTACAATAAGCGAATGAGAACGCAGCGTAGCGATTAGAGTGCTTCGACACCTTATTTACCGGTGAATGAGTCATCCTCCCTCCTGCCGCCACCAGCTCGTTTAATTGTTTGTCTGGGATCGGTAATTTACGTACCGATTTACGTGTAATTATACGTTGCCTGACCGGAAACAAACATCCAATCGAGTTCTCTCGAGGAGCAAGAAGAAAATGTTCCTTTGTTCCATTAAATTACCAAACAGCATGTTCGCCAGATACGATTATTTCGATCTGTTTATTAAACGGCTCGATGTGTTTGCAATTGTGGCTCATTATGTATCTTGATCGTCATCTTGCTCGTTTCTTCGACACGTGATCGCGATAAATTATACTCGCAGTTAAATATTTGGGACACATCATATTGGTGACAAATCTAAATAACGAATGAATTAGGTTAATTCCTTTTTTTTAAGTTATATATATATATACGTATATTCAAAATTCTTTTACACCATTCAACTTGTGATTTCGACTTGTAGTTATTATCAAGTAAAAATTGATAATTTGAAAATCTTTTAATATGAAATTTTGAAGTTTGATCTTCACTTTTAAAACTTTACAAGTAAAGACTTTTTTTCCTTAAAAAAAAAAATAAAATTCATATTATATATACTTTTGAGTTGTGTCAAAATACACACGTTAATCGAACGAATTATGAGTGGATGAAAGGGTATTGACACAAGAGTTAAATTTATTCTTTTATCCGTCTCGTGACCACTATCTCTTAATACCAATCAAAGAAATCCATCGAGTTAATTCCTTTGAGCGTGTCCTTTGACGAGAAAAGAATAGTGGGACCGCTGGAATCGTTAACCCTGACTTCTCTTTGGAGAACATTTCGGCGGCGTTAACACGTTCCAGCGTATTGTTGCTTCGTATCGAGGTGTTTGAAGGTACGCACACAGTGGCTGCGCGAGTGGCTTTTGTGGCAGGCATCAACAAAGCTCCGCTTTATCAGACCTCGTTCTTTGAACTTCCGGCGACTATTTCTCACTTGTCGCGACCACCACTCCTTCTTTTTCTTCTCGATCGTGTTTGTCCTTCGCTCGAGACCCTTTTTCTCGTCGAATGACGAGTCATCCGACCAATCATTTTTTTTTCTTCACGAATTGATAACGCTTTTAAGTAGCCATTGTTACGGGCGGAAGTCCGTGAGTAACGATCAACAAGCGAATTATCGTTCCACGTTTTTCCATTTTCTCTATCGTGGATGAATCGAGGAAAGATGAGATTGTACTAGGAAAAGAAAATTCTTAATTTTCGTATTATCGATCCTTTAATAAATAACCATCCACGGATTTTTGCACAGTTTTTGTTCAAATAACATTTATCTCCGTTTCTATTTTATCCCCGTACATT